AAAAGCTCCAACCTTCCGATTGGCTCGTGATGAACCGCGCAAAAACCCACAAAACTTAGTGACTAGAGCTCCATCAAAAGGACACGGTATGCTGATTTGTCACAGTAACCAATGCCTTGTCAAATAAACAGTCTCATGAAGGCAACCCTGCATTTGAAGCACTTCCAAGAAAAGGAAATAAATTTATTAACAGAAGGGCCGACTGCTGGCCAAGCCCTTAACTGCATGTATTTTTACAGGAGATGAGTAACAGTTCCGTTTCTTTGCAGTAAACTTCAAAATAAAACTGACCCTATTCAAGAGATAACGCTTATCAAAACTTGAGAACAGGAAACGAACATCTACGTGAAGTTTGGAAATCAAATTACCGGTTTCTCTGCGGTAAACATAAGAACCATCTGACATTGAGGATTGACTGCTTTCCGATTTCGGATACACCTAACAGAGACAAATAAGTGCAAATAGATTCGAACCTTACCAAAATGATTAAGTGATGGCAGTTTCAGAACAATTTTTGTTTGATGAGACACACAGCTGCGGTGAACCACGCCTTCATGAAGAACGTTGACGTGGGCAACAGTGTAGATGGTTAAGCCTCGGTTCTGGCGAGTTACGAATCAGAGGCATAGAGGGGTGGACTCTCAGATAGTGAGATCTCTGATGCAGACGATATGTGCACAGCATGTGTACAGCGTGTGAGCAAGTGCTCACTGCCAAGATTGCTATGGCTTGGAGTTCCATTTTGCTCATCACTCCGGTGCATTTGTATCACCCGTAATGGTCTTAATTTATTGGTGAGTATTAGTGTGCATAAGTTTGGTCTCAATGCGTTGTTTATCGACGAGAAGGACTTTACAAAATGTAAATCACGCAATCCCCCTAATGCTCTAAAGTCCAACTTCTTAACGAAAAGTTCTAATACATTTAAAAACAAGTGTAATTTTTGGCATCGCAAATGTTTTCAAAAATTTTTACCTTTAAAAGACGGAAAAAAACTTCTACCTACCCACACTTCCACCTCACTTTAATTTTCAGGTACCTATTCAATTTTTCTGCATAGTCATGTGTACTTAAGCTAATGTCGAAAGGTGATAGTTTAGTTGGAAAATATGGGTGAATGAGAGGTCGAAGTGGTGCCGCCTTTCATTCTATCCCATATTTCAGTCTAGGCCTTTTCATTGATAATGGAAAACCGTGAGTCATGGCCAGGATGCGAATAAAACAACCACACAGAGGTCATGCTTGATGAATCTGCGCCCATTCCACCGGAAATTATGAGAACATTACCCAATCAAATGCCTAATGCCACGTCCGGCGGCAGCGACTTCTGCATCACTTTCATCCCTACCACTTACAATGGTTGTCTGCACCACGGCCGCATTGCAAGTCATCGCCCCCTTTAAATTAATGAACTTGTCTCACTTATAGCCAATAGAAAGGCCTCACATCTTCTACTCACAAAACGAC